ATTGTTAAGTGAGTAATTTGATACAGTTTTTAATGAACGTATGGTTTGGGTTTATCGAAGAGCTTTTATTTAATGAATTTATTTGATATAGAGCAAAATTGTATATAAATTAGTTCAAACACTACTTGGACAAGAGGGTTTTGACCTCTTATTTATAATAAAAATTACAGGCAAGAAAAAATCAAGATCAAATATTTTTCCCATCAAACTATCATTGAACTAAAGCCATTTAATCTATTTTTAGTCAATTCCCAACCCTTACTTACAGTTATTCTCATTGAAATCTCAACGGAATAGAAAAAGAAGGCATGAAGAAGGCAAGTCGAATGAAGACTTCTATGTTGTCTTCATTCTTTATCTATCAAGTCTATTGCTTCTCTCATTGACTTTTCTATCAATTCATGTACTTCTTACTTTCATAGCTACACATCTTACTCAACAAGGTAATATTACCTTGACAGCTATCAACTGAATTAGGTAAATATTATTTTTTTCAATGAAATCATTGATAGAGCTTGGCTTTCATAGAATCATCATTTGATGCTTCTATTCAGAGAATCTGGTTCAAACAAGTTTGCTTTTATATGATCGTTGCTTGTAAATCTTAAGTTCTGAGATATTATGGTGTAATAGCTTCTTGTGTAATAATTCATACATTCTACATACATCATTCTGCATGTTTCTTAAATTCTGTAAGCACATGGTTTTGCTCATAACAATTCTTCTTAATTTTTCATGTCCTGTAAAAAATCCAATACGTCAGTCTTGAAGGTCACCTAATCGCATATACTTCTTTCTAAGGTGCAGTTATAATATTTTTTTTTTTATCTATTACTAACAAAAAAGTCTAGATACTAACACTAAAAATGAAAAATAAAATCACATGACTAAAAAAAATAACAGAGAAATAACAAAAATGACATAATAAAAATTTAACAAAAGACAACAAAAACCCAACAAAAAAAAAACTCAAAAACACATCTATATTCATAATGAAGAGTAGAACTCTTGCTATATACCCCTTAACTCTGCGTACAACTGTTATGTATGACCACTTACAATCTAAAAGATATTTAATCTTTTTTTATTTTAGTTCTAAGTCTAAACATATCCAATGAAGTTCACCACCAAAACACTCAAAAAACTTGATACAAAGGGAAAACCTACAATGCTGTAGGCAACCAAAATGTCATGTGTTCTGTAATTTATTACTTTGGGTATTTGATAACTAAAAAAAACCTTACATTTATTCTTTACAAGACCACTTCTACAATCAATACTATTCTTCGTAGCTGGCACTTGATTGATATTAAATTCTAACTTATCCAATTAACAACTGTTATGCTCTTTATTAATTTTATATTTTGAGTCTTTATTATTACTAATTATATCATAGGTCATATTATATCTACTATCTATAGCTTTTCTTGCTTTGTCAATTTCGATTCTATTTGTATAACTACACAGAGGTGTATTAACATAGCCTACACCCTTATTTCCTATATCAACAGATTGATAATAAATGGATAACTGATGTTTAACCTTTCATCTCTAATTCTATTTTCATTTCGGTTATAGCGACTAGCCAATTCCTGACAACATTTGAATATCTTTCTTTTATTAAATTTTTCAGATGCATTTTTGACCTTTGTTTTATCCCTTTAATCAAATTTTATAGGTCTAACATCCCTTTTACCTTTTTTAATAGTTTTATTGACATGATCAATTTTGTGGCCATAACTTTTCAGGTCTTTATAATTTGTTGTATTTACTTTACTTATCATTATTTCATTTTTCTTTAATTTTTCTGAAATCATGAACATTGCTTTTTTGAGGCCAGACCGAATTATATAGCGACACCTTTCATTTTCTCCTATGACCTGATATTAAACTTTATTACCCATAGTATTCCAAGAACAATATCAGAAGCCAACTCTTGTATAATGTAAAATAGTTAATTTACACCAACACTATATACAACAACATCAATGCCAGAAATATATTCAATGACTTCAACATCTACAGGACCAATGGTTAATTCTTTTTTCAAACGTTCCCAGGTAAGCCTTTTCTTTTTCACATACTCTATGCTTATTAGATTAATACTTAAACCAGTACTAATTAGTGTCTTTGCTAATTGTTTGTTTATTTTTACCAACTTTTCTGTCATCATATTACTATTAGTTTTTTTATTCCATCTTATCTTCATTGTTATGTTTCAACCTTTCATAGTTCTTACTTCCAAATTCTACACAATATAATTCTACATACTCACAATCCTAGTATTAATTATAGACATGATTTTTCTGAGATAGACATGAATGAGACAAGTGTCCTTTACAACAACACACGTAGCGCAAGCAAACCTAACAGTATTTATTCGAACTATCAACTTTTCCCCAAGTTTCACATACCCTACTTTGAACTCATCATTATTCATTTTCTTTCTCTGAGGCTGATGTGAGTGAGAACGATTGGCATATTCTAGTCTTTGACTTTCATATTATGGACGTAGTTTGGATTGGATTCGTTGATACTACATTATCTTGAGGTCTTTCACCAATTTGTTTATTATTTTTAGCAGCATTATTAAACAACCTTGGTTTTCTATCCTTGTTTACCAACTTCAGGTAATTTGTTTTTTTTTTTTGTTTTTTTTTTATTTATTTTTTTTTTTAGTTTTTTTTTCTTCTTTTTATTATTATTATTATTATTATTATTATTCCTCTTATTAATAATGTTTTTTTTCTTTTGTATTACTTATATGTTTGTTTTGCAGCATACTTGACTATCAACATTCAATACAGTATGATTCCTAAACCTTAACACAA